AACTTCTGACCTCAGGCAATTCGCCTGCCTAGGCCTCCCAAAGTGCTAGGATTACAGGTGTGAGCCACCGTGCCCGGCCCTGTTTTCTTTTACTAAATGTAGTTGAGATGGGACTTCTTGGGCAGCTTAGGTCGTACAGCAGAGCCGGTAGGTGCAGCTGTTACATATGTAGGTTCTGGATTCAGATCCTGACTTCTCCTCTTACCAGCTGTATGAGTTTGAGTGATTACTTAACCTCTCTAGGCTTGTTTTCCCATCTGTATATAATAGAGGGATACCAGTGCCTACCTAGTGGCAATTATGAGAGGAAACCTGTAAAGACTTAACATTGAGTCACGTTCTATAATGAGTATTGGTTGCTGATGTTGGTAACTATAATTAAAATGATGGTCACAAAATCACTGACCCTTGGTAGGTGACTAATCAGATTGATGTTCTCTTGCCCTTTCATTTACAATTTTAAAAAATGCTTTAGACTTTCTGGGGCAAGTGGAATCGGGAAGAAAGAGCAGTTTCTGAGCTTAGATCCTCTAAAACCCTTGTTAGAGTGCTTAAAGTGCCAGTCATTTCGTAGGAATTTTCTAAGTAGCTTGGGGCTGATACACTTTAGGCACTAGAAGTTTTAATATTTTAACTCTTTTTATTGGAAATAGCTCTAAATTATACTCTATGCGTTTATGCTTTTTTTCGTTTTCTTTCTTTTTTTTTTTGACACAGAGTGTTGCTCTGTTGCTCAGGCTGGAGTGCAGTGGCGCAGTCTTGGCTCACTGCAGCCTGAACCTCCTGGGCTCAAGTGATCCTCCCGCCTCAGCGTCCGCAATAGCTGGGACCACAGGTGCGCTCCACCACGCCCAACTAATTTTTGTATTTTTAGTAGAGACAGGGTTTTGCCATCTTGCTCAAGTGATCTTCCTGCCTCAGCCTCCTAAAGTGTTGGGATTACAGGCATGAGCCATGTGCCTGGCGCTTCTGTGCTTTTTAAAGCAAAATGTTTGGTCTTTGTATTAGCCTCCTGGGGGCTGCCATAACAATGACCACAAACTGGGTAGCTTAAAAAAACACCACAGGAATTTATTCTCTCACAGTCCTGGAGGTCAGAAGTGCAAAATCAATGCATTCACAGGGTTGGTTTCTTCTGGAGACTGCAGGAGAATCTCTGCCACACCCCTTCTCCTGGCTTCTGGTGGCTGCCAACAATCAGTGGTGTTCCTTGGCTTGTGGCCGCATCACTCGAATCTTGTCCTCCATCTTTTATTTCTGTTTTTTTTTTTTTTTT